ACCATTTTGGGTTTGACCGATTTGCCGGTTTCATCGCGATTTCTCATACTGATTTTATTAATTTTAAATAATTAAAAAAAACTTCCATTGGCTAATTTCCATTTAATCATATAAAAATAAAACTCTAATTAGTTTATAATATATTTTATAATCTCATATCCAAACAAGAAGAAAAAGTAAAGTTTGTTTCACTATCTATATATTATATAAAGAAAATGGAATTTTTATGGAGAAGCATTCTAGGAGCTCCAAACCTTTATTATAAAATTGTTGAATTTTCTTAATTTTAAACAATTAAGAAAATTCTCATTGGCTAGCTTCCATTTACATTTTATTTTATAATCTCACATCCAAAAAAAAAAAGTAAGTTGTTTCACTTAAAAAAAAAAAAAGTGAATTGTTTCACTTATATAAAGTGAATCTTATGTTCCTATTTATATAAGCAAAATTATATTTTTACTGAAAAACCCAATGATCAATATCTCATACTCGTTTTTTTGATTTTCTTAATTTTAAACAATTAAGAAAATGCCCATTGGCTAACTTGTATTTAACTTTCATTTTACAATCTCACATAGACGTTTTAGTTTTAAAAATAATTTTATATGAGATTTTGACTCTCGCATAATATTTAATTTTAAAATAATTACAATCTCACATCGAGAAAAAAAAAGAAAAAGTGAGTTGTTTCACTTATATAAAGTGTTACAATCCCGCATCGGGAAAAAAAAGAAAAAGTAAATTGTTTCATTTACATAAAGTGAATCATATAAAGGGAGGTTCGAGGCAGAAACCTTCTGGAAGCTCTAAACTCTCATTCTAAAATTATTGAATTTTCTTAATTTTCAACAATTAAGAAAATTCTCATTAACTAGCTTCCATTTACCTTTTATTTTATAATCCCACATAAAAAATAAAAATAAAAAGTGAATTGTTTCATTTACATAAAGTGAATCTTATGCTTCAATTTGTATAAATTATTGAATTTTCTTAATTTTAAACAATTAAGAAAATCTCCATTGGCTAGCTTCGACTTAATTTTTACTTTACAATCTCACATCGAAAAAAGAAGGGAAAAATGAATTATTTCACTTATATAAAGTAAATCTTATTCTCCCCTTTATATAAACAAAATGAGATTTTTAGTGAGAAATTTTATAATCAATATCATTTTTTTTGATTTTCTTAATTTTAAACAATTAAGAAAATCTCTATTAGTTAGCTTCCATTTAACTTTCATTTTACCATTCAACATAGAGGTTTTGATTTTAAAAATAATTTTGTATGAGATTTTGAAACTCTCATAATATTTAACTTTAAAATAATTAATATCTCATATCGAGAAAATAAAGAAAAAGTGAGCTGTTTCACTTATATGAAATGAATCTTATACTCTCATTTAATATTATAGTATTGTACATGTTTCAATTCAAGATGATTTAAATCTTAAAATAAAATTTAAAAGTTTTAATTAATTAATTTTGTTGTAAATTGGTTGGTCTTTTGACCTAGCCGATTAGGCTTAATTGTTTTTAATTTGACTGATTCACTGGTTTAACCGCGGTTTTAGCTGTTTTATCAAAATATATTACTTAGATTTGTTTGATTTAAAATAAAATAAGATTAACCTTATTCAATATTGAACGACTAAGATTACTTGATTAGAAATGAACTTCTTGTCCAAACAATTGTTAACGTTTATTTTACAATCCCATATCAGAAAAAAGAGGAAAAAATGAATTGTTTCACTATATAAACCTTTATGCTCCCATTTAAAATTGTAGTGTTATGTGTGTTTTAGTTAAAGATAGTTTAAATTTTAAAATTAAAATAAACTTTAAAAGTTTTAATTAATTAATTTTTGTATAAAATGATTGGTACTTTCACCTAGCCGGTAGGGTGAACCGTTTTCAGTTTGACTGATTTTAACTGTGATTTTAGCGATTTTATCAAAATATATTAGTTAAATTTGTTTGATTCGAAATAATTTAAAGATTGACCTAATTAAAGATTAAACGGTTAAGATTGCTTGATTCGAAATAAGCTTTCCGCCCAAATAATTGTTAACTTTTAAACAATTAAGAAAATTCTCATTGGTTAGTTTCCATTTAATTTTTGTTTTATAATCCCACATCGACAAAAGAAGGAAAAAGTATATTTTTTCACTTACATAAAATGAGTCTTATGCAATTATTCATATATGCAAAAGGAGATTTTTAGTGAGAAGTTTTATGATCAATATCTCATACTAATTTTTGTAAAAATTTTTATTTTACAATCTCACATAGAGGTTTTGATTTTAAAAATAATTTTGTATGGGATTTTGAAACTCTCATAATATCTCTCCTTAAAAGTATTCTTTTATAAAATATATAGATATATCGATAACCTCAATATCACTCTTACTGCTCCTTAATACAAAAATTATGAGACAATTATGATAATTTTAAATTTGTGTTTAAAACTTATAAATTATGAAATAGATTATTATAATTTTAAATTTATATTGTGTCGATTTTAAATTTAAATTAATAGATTACTTTCCATATTTAGTGACAGTTTAAATTTAATAAAATAAAATTTAAAAGTTTTAATTAATTAATTTTTGTGTAAGCTAATTGGTCTTTTGACTTAACTGATTAAGCTAAACCGTTTTTCGTTTGAATAACCGTGATTTTAGCAATTTTACATGTTACGATGATTCTTTCTTACTCATTAACTTTTTAATTTTTTTTAATTATTTCATTTTCAAAAACCAATATGATAATTTTTTAAAATTCATATATTTTTATTCTAAAATAGTGAAGTATTAGAACTATGTCATTTTTTTTTTATAACAAAGCATAATTTTACTTATTAATTGTCACTACAACAATTTTAATCTATATATACTATATATTATAGCAAAAGAACATTTGAAACAAAACTCTTAAATTTATATATAAAATTTTATTTATGAGAGACAAAATATAAAAAAAATTAAATATAATTATTGTATTTTTAATAAATAATATATTGTTTTATCCTGTGCATTGCATGAGTGATATGCTAGTATGTTATGAACTAATTCATATACAAATACTTGAAAAATAATTTCCTAATAAATTCCCCTTTTTAAAAAATTTTAATTGTTTTTTTAAAATTTATTTAATCTAAATACATTAAAAAGTAAAAAATATATATAAAAATCTTTAAAAAAAACATCGATTGTTTTTTTAAAATTTATTTAATCTAAATACATTAAAAAGTAAAAAATATATATAAAAATCTTTTAAAAAAAACATCGAATATAATAAAATATAAAATGTATTGAATTTTTATGTTTTTTTTGTATTCAATAAATTTTTTAAATATTTTGTACAAATTTCATACTTTGTAAGCTTATTTTAATTAAATTACCTAAAAAATTTAAAACAATTAATTAAAATATTTTAGAAATCATTAAAAATAAAAATAAAAAAATGCAAATTAAATATAGTGACCCAATTTTTTTTTTTTAAATAGTCAGTACATAATTTAATTGAGCAAATTTTTGAATTTGAGTGTTGTGTAACTTCTGTGCGAAAACAGTTTGGTTTTGTAATTTTTTTTTTGTTCCCGTTCTCAGAAAATTATAAAATTTTTATATGTTGTTCCTATATGAGTCTAGCACGTTGGATAAAATATATTATGATCAAATGGGATAATTTTTTTTT